TAATGCATACATATGCACAGACATCAATCCATAAGTCCCCATTTTGAGTTTGCTGAATATTACGGTATGTTAATTTTCGAGGGGCAAACATCCAGGCATTTCACCGCCTGGCGTCCAACACTGGTGAAAACAAAGGCCGATAACTATCAGAAAACTGTACTTTAGGCGAGTTGTTGAGACCTGAACAGTTTAATAATAATAATAAGAAGAAGAAACACTGAAAAAAATAACAAAAGTAAATACAGAAAAACAAATACAAAGAAAACAAATGGTAAGAAAAATACATATATATATTGGGTAAAAAGGAAATCAGAAAATTGCTTACTGCTAGTCTAGTCTGATTTCCTATATACACTGGAAGTAAATTATAATGTATATAGTAGAGGGCCAAAAATAAGTATATTAATATGAAGATTAACTAACCAAATTAATAAATAACTAAACAAATGAATATGAAAGTTAATACAAATCGGTGATGAATAAACATATAGCTTATTAATCAATAATGAACAAATATGTCTGTATCGACATCGCGCTTTGCCGAAACAACCACCAGCACCAAACACCGCAGGGCATCCGCGAAAGTGGTACCGCCAAAACTAACCTGATGCCATACAGAACTTCTAAGTCTAAGAAAATAAGTTTTGGAAAAATCAATCAAGTTAAAAAAAAAAATGAATAAATAAACAACTTGGCAAACAAAATCATATGTATCTAGTTTTCTGCCAATAATAATTGTTTAATCATTTTTTTGAACGAACTGCGTGAGATAATTGACCTAATTTTAGCCAGGATTTTATTCCATATTTTTGCACCTGAGTATGTCATCGTAAACTGGCCAAATGTTGTACGGGTACATGTATATTCAACAAAAAGATTTTGATTGTGAAGTTGTCTAGTTTGATACGGATGATGGATAGGTTTGAAATAGTCATTAATATTATGGGCAGAATTATGGTGGATTAAGTCATGGATGAAAGTACAGGTGACTAATTTGTGCATTTTATAGATATCAAGGATGTTTAATTTTTTGAATAAAGGGGCCGAGTGTTCAGTGAACGAACTAAACGTCATTGCGCGAACTATCATTTTCTGGGTCATACAACTGTATAAATGGTATTTAAGTGTGAGTGATATGTATTACCCCAAACCTCCAGACCATAAGTAATATTCGGCTGTATAAGGGAATTATAAAGCAATATTAAAATGTTAAGGGGTATGAAGTTTCTAAGTTTATATAATAGGCCACATTTTTTTCTAATTACACTGTTGATGTGATCGATGTGACATGACCAATTAAGATGTTTATCCATTACAACACCAACAAATGAAACTACCCTGACTTCCTGAACACATTCCCCTCTGATGCTAATTGAGCCAGTTACATTAGGCAAGTTTTGCTTGCTACTAAAAATAATATAATTCATTTTCTTTTTATTTATGGAAAGTTTGTTGGCATCACACCATAGCAGGACATCATTTAAATGAGAGGTTGCATCATGTAAATTGAGTATGCAATTTTTCTCATAAGTATGAAATAAGTTGGAGTCGTCAGTGAAAATTAAAAAAATTAGTGGAATTGGGAGGATCGTTTATATAGAGTAAAAATAATGTTGGGCCTAGAACAGAACCTTGGGGTACCCCATAATTAATGCTTGTTTTAGATGATGATATTCCATTGCAATGTACATATTGGGACCTGTTATGAAGATAATCTTTGACCCATTGAAGTGAGAGCCCCCTAAACCCGTAATGTTCTAACTTTGATAATAAAATTTTGTGATTGATCGTATCAAAGGCCTTGCTGAAATCCATAAATATACCGAGCGTGGGCTTTCCCTGGTCAATATTACGTAACAAATGATTCACCAAATTAATTAGGGACAGTTTAACTTTTGTGCTATGCTTTTTCCTGAATCCGTATTGATGTTTGTGAACTTGAAGTATATTATATTTTTCAAGATAAGTTCACAATAGTTTCCAAAATTTTACTAAAAAGGGGTAATTCTGAAATAGGTCTATAATTACTAGCATCCTGCTTTTCACCTTTCTTAAAAATTGGTGTTACCCTGGCAACTTTCAACATATTGGGAAATTTACCAGAGGAAAAAGATCTGTTAAAAATATGTGTCAAGGGATGAGCAATAATATCTGCTGCATCAATTAAAATTATAGGTGGCAATTTATCCCAGCCACAAGACTTCTTTGGGTCCAAGTTATTTAAAAGGTGTGTTACCTTACTCACAGTAGTTGGGTGGAGAAAAAATGTATTTACGTTTGGTCGGTCAAGATAGTTTAAAAAGCTGTTAGAGGCCGAGGTTTGAGGTAAGCTGTTAGAGGCCGAGGTTTGAGGTAAGCTGTTAGAGGCCGAGGTTTGAGGTAAGCTGTTAGAGGCCGAGGTTTGAGGTAAGCTGATAGAGGCCGAGGTTTGAGGTAAGCTGTTAGAGGCCGAGGTTTGAGGTAAGCTGTTAGAGGCCGAGGTTTGAGGTAAGCTGTTAGAGGCCGAGGTTTGAGGTAAGCTGTTAGAGGCCGAGGTTTGAGGTAAGCTGTTAGAGGCCGAGGTTTGAGGTAAGCTGTTAGAGGCCGAGGTTAGAGGTAAGCTGTTTGCAATAGTTTCACCAACACTAGCAAAATGTGTATTAAAGCCCCGGATAACCTCAATAAGATCAGAAAGAATATGATCATTGCTATTGACTTTAATATTTAGTTGTTCTGGGATTTTGTCAGAATTCTTGTCTTTGCCAAGTAACTCATTTATAACTTTCCATGTCTTATCCACCTTATTCTGATTTAAAACAAGTAAACTGGAATAATAATTTTTTTTTTGCAGCTCTAAGTACATTAGTAAGGACATTTCTATATGACTTATACTTGGATACAGCATGTGGCTCATGATTATTTGCTATCTAGAGATTTTGCATATAGTTTGTGTTTCGTATTAATTGATTTTTTGATAGCACTAGTGATCCAGTGATTCTAATACATTTCAAATTTCTTTTGTTTAGTGCTCTCAATATACAAACAATGTGCTGGATACATGCAAGTATTTAGCACATCCTGTCTTTACAACAACACAATGGTCGAGACATGGCCTCATAGCATATACTATAGTACAATACATTACATCATAATTTATTATATAAACCATGTAAGCCGGGTAACATCGATGTTAGAATTATAGAATAGTTACAATGAATAATACTACAATGTATAACAAACACAGTGATCTGACTCACCTTGCACTCCATGTCGATCATTGTCCACTTTAAGATCGTGCCTTTCAGTTCCACTCGGCATTATGGAAATTGAATACACACACACACACAAACGCTACTGGTTCTCCGGCATGTTGTTGATTTCAACATTGGCTGAACATTGTCGATTTCAGTGACGCAAATTTTCTTTTCTGGCCGAGTACGGTCACTGGCCGTGATCGGTCACTGGCCGAGTTTGGCGGTCACCATGGAGATTCCATCATCATGTCCTGTAACCCACTCCATGTCTTCGTTGTTAAAATACAATCTCTTGTGGGAATAGTACGCGGATTTTCCCAACATTTGTAAACAATGGCCACATCTCTTAGGCCAGCGTGCATTTTTTGGCATGTTTAAAAGATCACTGCTGTGAATATTGCAATAACGTGATGAAAATGTCGATTATCGATTTAAATTTTAGGTACTGACAAGATTTAAAGATGGCGGCAAGACTGCCTAGGTTGTTGATATTTACTATAACTATGCATTATTCGTTTCTATTAAGCTAAAATTATCTCGCTGATATACATAAGGCAAATCAGTTCAGCTAGATATGTTTTCATTATAATCAAATATACAAGAAAATATACTTTACAAATGAATAAAATCTTATTCAACTATGCTGTTGACCTGGGTATGGTGACCTGGGGGGGGGGGGGCTCTATAAACACTGGCGTTGGTGGCGTACGTGGGAAGGTCAGAAGTTCATTCAAACGAAATACACTCTCGAAGTCAGTCGTGCAACTCTACCGCTCCTCAGCAATATATATATCGAAACTGTCTATATTTACTGTCGTGTAATAATGCTCAACGATCTCGTGTACGATTGGCAGCTGATCAAGTTGTTCAGAATGTCACGTCAACTCCTCTCAGAAGTAGTGAAAACACCCGTGGCTTCACATATCATGATGATCTTGGTGTCAGTCCGTTCCAGGCGAGCCCTGTAACTGGTACTGCCCACAGTTTCTATAATCAAGGAGCAACCCCTTAATTTACAAACATGGCATCATACTTCGATAGACCTTCCAGATCTGAGTCTGAAAGTCCGTTCCATGCAATGGAAAGTATTCACAACTCAGAAAATGTTTTACAAGGTTTGGAGCCATTACATGTACAAGGGATTGTGATCTATTGTTTTCATGCTTGAGTAACAGGAAATGGCCCGCCTGGGTAGATGTTCACATGTACATACTCCTATTGTAGTGGTCAGGCACAGTTTATCAAACAAAAGCAACTGATATTCAACAATTTCACCCACACAAATGAAGAGTTATTCTGTTTCATATATAATAAATTAACCTTTTTATTTCAGATTGCCAGGAAGTGATGTCAGGACTAAATTCATTACATGAAGTGATGGATAAACAAGTGAAAGTTGGTGAGGATTTTCGTTCAGAAGTGAGGGAACAGATGAAAGAGATTTGTGGTAGAATGAAAAATATAGAGGAGCAAAATGCTAGTAATGCTACAAGAGTACCTGAGACTTCTAGTAAAAAGAAGGAAACACCAACAGAGTTATCAGTAAGTTTGTCATAACTTCTATAATAATGTGCAATTTATAACTGGGTGGGGGGGGGTGACAATATACATATCAATCTTACATTATTTGTATTCTATAATATAATAGTATAAAGCATATTACTCATCATTCAATCATCCCTGTGTGCTGATAACACTGATGTATTGTATCAACTTTTAATTTGAGTTGATTTGTTTTTCCCACCAGATTACAACAAGAAACCTTATAGCAAGATCAGGTGAAGACCTGCTGTTCAAAGTACCAGACGGGTGAGTAAATACAGCTTTAACGATATATACATGTATTCAAGCATAGTGATTATGAGGAGAATTTAAAACGGTTTCTTTAATGTATTGATGAAGAAATTCAGGTACATGTATATTGATATTTTATGTGTCACACCAGCAGTTTTATATGTGCTTTCAAATGATGAATTATGAATAACAAATACTATTTTCAGAATTTTATGAAAACAGATTAACTTCTTACAGTTATATTTTTTGATATTTTGTCATTGAAAATTTATATTCTTTTTTTTGAAGATGGAACACAGAGCATAATTTAGAAGTGAGAGATAAACTATTCAAGGAGCTATCATTGAAATTTGGCGACAGATACACAAACGCAGAAAATAGGGGTACGTATTTCAACTACTACTATTGTACTAAGGCCAAACACAAAAGTACTAGTATTGTGTGTTGGTATACATGACC